CTCTCTCTCTCTCTCTCTCTCTCTCTCTCTCTCTCTCTCTCTCTCTCTCTCTCTCTCTCTCTCTCTGTGTCTGTATGTGTGTGTGTGTGTGTGTCCGATACTAACCTGGAAGGTGGCGCTGTGCTGCAGGTACCTCGAAGCCAAAGCTGGAGCTATGGCGCCACAGGTGAGTATCCCTGGCCTCCGCAACCATCTCTCTCTCTCTCTCTTCTACTAGCGCAGACGGTCGTAAGCCATGAGCAGATCGGCACTCGTTTCCGAGAAAACCGGTACCAGCGATCGTAAAGCCATGAGCAGATCGGCACTCGGTACCGCTGGCGTTGTTTCCCAGGCCGGTACCAGCACGAAAACAAAATACTGCAGGCAAGAAACCCCGGAATTACGACTCGGGCATGTACCTGCCCATGTTTTCTCTTCAACGAACAGGCCCGGAATGCGAAACCCAGGAATTGTTATTCGGGCCTGCACCTGCCCTTGTTTTCCCTTCAACGAACAGGCCCGGTAACAGGCCCGGTACCTTGGGAGATCCCGTTCAGCAGGGTTGCATGGCAATGTGGTCCGAGCGCGTTGGGGTCTGGAAAAGAGTTTGGAAGTGGAGAGTAGTCGGACGTGTTCCTCATTTCCTGTTGTCAGTTTTCCACGTGAACAGTACGTCTGGTCGAGCAGCTTCCCATTTCGTTTTCGTACACCACAGCCGCTAGACTTCAGCGCGCGCGCCACATGCAGGTTGTTTCCCACACTCGGTCGAGTGTTCGGAGGGTCTGGCCTAGCAACACAGAGCTCGGCACTTCGTGTCAAGTGCAGCTTCGAGTGCCTATACGTCTGTGGTTTGTTTCGCCTTCCCGGGGCTTGTTTTGCATCGCGCCATCTGCATGTCATTCACGATCCAAAACACGACATTTTTTTGTTTTGCATCGCACCATTTGCTCGTGAATGCGGCGCTTTTCCATTTTGTGCATCGGAACAACGTCCAGCTGACAACAATCGGCAACAAGGGCTCCGCAGCTCCTACCAGGTGAGAAAAAAACACCACCCTGCGCGAACAATCTTCTTTTTTTCCCCCCTTTTCCAGCGCGAATCTCCTGACTTGTCTGGCTTTATGTCACGTTCTTTTATGTACTACTATTTCAGGTCACACCAAAACACGACCTTTTTTGTTTGCCAGCACATGGTTTGAACATCAGTATTTGTGTCGTTATCGCAGACCTTTTTTTTTTTTTGCGAGCACATTGTTGGTGTCGGCCTTTTACAACCGCAACCTGAAAGAGGGTCATCTTGTTTGAAAGCACGAGCGATCTTGTTTGAAAGCACGAGCCATCTTCTTTGAAAGCGCGAGCCATCTTGTTTGAAAGCACGAGCCAAATTGTTTGAAAGCACGAGCCATCTTATTTGAAAGCACGAGCCATCTTGTTTGAAAGCACAAACCATCTTGTTTGAAAGCACAAGCCATATTGTTTGAAAGCACGAGCCATCTTGTTTGAAAGCACGAACCAGTTCCGCATTTTCTTTTACTTGTGCACTCTGTCATGTCATATGTCCTTCTCGTTTTTTTTTTAACAGCACTGTCCTTGTGCATTCTATCAGTTCACTCTTCTTATTCTAAATGCACGGACCAGTTGACAACAAGGCAGGATGCATGAAGGAAACGAATGCCTCCGTGAGCAAGACGGTAGAATGGGTGCTTTATTTACCGATCCTGAAAAGCACGGAGTGCAAGGGATCGCCCACGGGTGTTTGCTCGTCATACGGCGGAGAACAGAACGACAACACTTTTTTTTCATCAAAGAACCAGGGAAAAGATTGCTATCGAAACCATCGGCATGAGAGAAATGAATGTATTGCTTGTGCTCGAACGGACTAAGTCACATGTGCTGCGAAAGGGGTGCTTTATTTCGGCGTGCTGCCGAACTTGCATCTTCATTTTGTAATAAAAAAAAATTCTGCGCCTTAGGTGAGCAATGTGAGGACCTCTCTTTGTATGCCGCTGTGGTGCCGGTGCGTGTATTGCACTTCACCTTCCATTTTTCACAACAAACAACCGCCATGCACCCACGGCTCGACCACACGAAAAATGGCAAACAACCGCCATGCACGAAATTAGTATGTTGCGTTGCTATGCTTGCGTGCTGGTGCACCGGGGTTTGGTATGGCAGTGCGAGTTGCTATGCTTGCATGCTGATGCATATGAGTATGTTGCTTCCTTCGACAGTGTGTGTTGTGTTTCTCGGTTGGGCACTGCAGTGTCGGTGATCGTTACTATGCAGTTGACTCCCCTACTTCCAATTCCCCGCCATGTCCTGATGATGAAGGATCTTCACGGTGCAGTCGACTCCCCTTTTACCATGTGTTAGTGCGCCGTCCTCATGATGAAGGATCCTGTGGTGGCGTGGCCGCCATCTGCCGATCTCCTCGTAGGGTCCTCCATCACATGCTATGAGTCCATGTCCGGCGGCCGCCGTGGATACGACTCATGGTCCGGCTTCCTCGGGTTGCCGGATTTTTTTTCCCATGCTCGGTGTTGTAGTGTGTACCGGTGTCGGTGTGCCCGTTGCATCATCGTATTCATATATCACATAGTCGTGGATATATCACATAGCCATACATATATGTGAGATCGCAGGGCAGTCCAATCCAAAAATCCAAGTCACTAAATATACCTGCAATCACATCAAGGAGTCAAGCAAAAATTCACGCCCTACACGGGGTCAATTCCAACCAACCTCCATACTCATACCCCTTGCTTTAGCCATGCAAGCCCCAACATCCAGCCACCATGGATATATCATATAGCCCAGCATTGTCATGCCGCCGAACCATGTGTTAGTGCGCCGTCCTGATGATGAAGGATCCTGTGGTGGCGTGGCCACCCTCTGCCGATCTACTCGTGGGATCCTCCCGGATATGCTATGAGTCTGTGTCCGTCGCCCGCCGTTCATACGACTCATGGTCCGGCATCCTCGGGCCCCCAAACCATGTGTTGCTGCGGCGTCCTGATGATGAAGTATCCTGTGGTCGCGCAGTAGCCCTTCTATCAATTCCCCACCATATCTGCGTGCTTGCGCCTATGCTCTCTTCATGTATTCCTCCATCGCATGCTATGAGTGCGTGTCTGCCGCCCGCAGTGGATAAGACACAAGGTCGGACGTCCTCATGTCGCCGAACCATGTGTTACTGCGGTGTCCCGAAGATAAAGGACCATATGCTGCCGTGGTCTCCCTTCTGTCAATTCCCCACCATGTTCGCGTGCTTGCGGCCATGCTCTCTTCGTGGGTTCCTCCATCACGTGCTATGTGGGCGTGTCTGCCTTCAACATGGTCCGGCGTTCTCGTGTTGCCGGACCATGTGCAACTGCGGCGCTCCAAGGATAAAGGACCATGTGGCGCCGAACCATGTGTTAGTGTCGCTGGACTGCTTGGAAGGTGTATTGGAAGCCAGAGATCTGTTGGTGCCTGTCACAAGGAAATTTCGTAGCACGTGGGGATATACGTTCTGCTAGTCAGTGTCTGGTCTGCTCCTCAACATGTGGGCCATAACATTCGTCACCACCTGGTTGTGTGGGGGCTCCTTGTCGGTGGTCTGTGATGAGGGTGGTTGTGTTCATTGGTTGTTGTGTGGGATTTGTATGTTGTGCCCTGCTGGTGGCGGACCATGTGTCAGTCTGCCAACACAC